TGCCTCGTCACAGAATATTACATAACTTGACAAAAAACAATAATTGCTATTTTTAGGCCGTAATGCCCTTTTAATATTACGCATGTTATATTATATGGCAATATAATCACATCTTTTATCAAACAGACTAACTCAATGCATGTTTAAACCAGTGGTTTGCACTGTCTAGCCCACAGCTCATCGAGATTTCACTGCAGTCCGTGATGAGGCAATGAGCATGATCCACAAAGCTTTTGCAATTTTAGATGAGGAGTTCCGCAAACTAGACAGGTATGGGAAAGGTACGAAACTGCCGGGTGAAAGTCACCTGCAGCTTTATTTCAGAGATCAGTCAGCACTTGGTAAAGAAACAGCTTAGTGTAGTTTCTGATTTTGAATGGTTTATCTCTATGTTTATATGTGTTTCCTCTTGCAACAGATTGAGCAAGATAGGTCAACTGTTTTTTCTTTTTCTCTGGAAACAGAGAAAAGTCAGAGCTTTCGCAGGCAGCAGAAGCGCTGCGGTGTGAGCAACAGGCTTACAATGAGTATCACCAGAAGCAGACTCAGGTGTGTTGTATTTACAGTACTGTCAGAGAACACTTCATGTGTTTAATTTCCAGTCAAAACAGCTGTTATGAAAGTTATTCATTTTTAGCATCAGGAGAAAAAAAATTACACAGAAGCCTCAACAACTAAATATCATTTTTCAGTTTTTAGTGTGCCCGCTCTTTACCTTTATAACAGCTCCCATTTTTTTCAGGAGACTTACTTTCAGTTTTTCAAAGAAATCTGCACCTACTAAGTTCAGTCTTAGACAGTGGCTGTATTTTATGCTTCTCATCGTTCCAGTAATCCTTAAACATGTTAAACGATGTTGAGGTCTGGACCCTAGGTTGGTCAGTATATTGTTCTGAGAACACCAGCAACTTCTTTGTTTGATCAAATGTTCTTGTTTTGTGGCTATTTCCTGTTCCCTTTAATAGTTTCTTGACAGCTGTACATGCTTTCAGAGTCATAGTGTTGAGTCGTCTTCTCACAGTGAAAGGATGGACAGAAACACCTGTGGATTTTTTCAGATCTGAAACGAGAGGGGAACTTGATTTTTTTTTTTCTTGGCTCTCAAAGATGAAAGTTTTATCAAACAATGTTTTATGCAAACAATGTTAGTGTAAAATTATTAGAATATATATATATATATATATATATATATTCTATATATATATATATATATATATATATATATTCTAACATATCACTGGGGTAGGAATGACATGTTAACCCCTTACATGGCCAGTTTTATTATACATTTCTAAAATAGCTCAACTAGTTTGCATTGAAGTCCCTGTAGATACTGAATAAGTCTCAGTATGCAATAAGCCTGAGATTTTAAGGGGTTAAAACAAAAAAAGTCACGTGTAAAAAACTGTAGATCATCAAATAAATGCATATTAATGAAAACTAAAAAAACTAAGAAAACTAACTAAGAAAACTAAAGCCACAAGAAAGCTCTGCCACTGTCAATATTCAGAGACAGTCTACTGATGTCTGCACAAAGTACCAGCTTTTCCCAATATGCTTTGCAAATAACAGCTAATTACTTTAAATTCTGACATGTATCTGACAAGAAACGTTACCTGTTTCTCCCAGAAAGAACCATTTTTACACATATTTAAGGAATACAGCAGATTACTGCAGAATATCTGCTGGAAATGTACATTAATTGTTTACAGTATATGTACTGTTTACTGATGGGGACAGTTTTGGTGGTTTAGGAGGTCTTGCATGGTTGTTAATAGTCCCATTTTCTCCATATCTTTTAACCCTTTAAATGGCCAGGGCCCAAAGTTTTAGTTACACTTCTATAACCTAAGAATAGCTCAGCCAGTCTATACCTGATCTCCGCAAAAAAAATTAAAAAAGAATAACTTGAATTTAATGACAGATCTGACTGGAAATTAAACACATGAAAGAGTGATCCCTAACTTTTGCACGGTACCTTATTTGTGAATCTGAACGTAGACGCAAAAATGAAGTCAGTCCAGCCCAAATTAACTGTGGCAAACTTAACCTTTTGAGTAACATATCAAGCATATCTATAGTTCTGTAACACTTTTACACATCATTCTCCAAAATGGCTTTTCTTGAATGGGCGGTCATTTTTCAGAACACATTCCCGCCTTTTATTCTATACATTTTCAAAACAATGGTTGAAGGAAGTCGGGTTTGTGTCTCTGGTTGAACAGGAACTTCAGGAAATGCTGGAGAGGCACAGATCTCAGAACGAGGCTTGGCTCCGAGCTCGAGCAGAAGAGAACGACAAGGAGAGGAAGGAGCTGTGTAAACTCAGGGTGTGTAACCGCAAACAGTTACTGAGGACGCACTTGTGGCCATGTTTCACTAGAGGCTTGCTATTTATATACCCCAATGTCTGACTAGTCAGACAACGACATTTCCACCTTAGCAATTAGCCTCCACTGAATATGACTGGACCTCACTTTTAACTAATGGTCAACCAATTGTCCAGAAAAGGCAAAATCAAAGGTGTATTACACCAGTTCAGTAGACATGGCACAGTACAGGATTCCATTAAGGTGCACCGTCATTCATTGCTGTTTATTGTCAACGTTTTTTAACAGGAGGAGGTGCTTCATGAGCAGGAGAAGCTAAAAGAAGAGCAGTGCAACATCCAAAAACGCAGTGAGCACCTCCTGTCCATTATGCAGCAGTTCAAAGGCATGTGAAGAAACAGTCTCCATGGCAACCAGAAGGAGGAGAGAGGCCGAGTTTTGTTTTCCATCACACTTCTTTGCTGTCATTGCTGTGCGTGTGAGTGTGTTCATTCGTGGGACCCCTTTGTGTCCTTTAATCACTCTAGACATGCATACATTGATGGCGTGTTTGCATAATTGCCATTATATGTTGTTGTACAGAGAGAGACACCTGTAAAAGCATGGCCTTATGCAACCAAACAAAGCCAATCTGACAGGGTATGTATGCTTACTAAGAAAACTACAGGCCCAGATTTTTAGATCTGAGGCCCAGAAGTACAAGAGCAAGCACTGCTTTCATTCTTGTGAAACAGGTTGACTTCCTTTCTTGTGTTTTGTGTTTTCTTCATTTGAAAATGTATCTGAATGCTGAAGTCTACGAATAAAAGTTTATGAAAATGTAACAACTGACTATATAAACAATGCTAGGAATATATGAAATGTATCTTGTTCAGGCACTGACTGAAAACAGTGTTAACATAAGTAATAAAGAAAGCAAACTATGTCATATCAAGCCAGTTAAAACCACTGTATGAGATTCCTCACTTCTAGTCCTATATCCTTTCCTAATCCTCATAAAAACTGATATTTAGTCACAGATAACATTTCCATAGCATTCTTTCCATGCAAACTGATTCGGGATGGGTTTAAACAGACACTGACTTAAAACAGTGTTAGCAAAACATATTAAGCCAGTTATTACCACTATAATAACTAGCTTAAAGTGCCTTAATTCCAGTTCTGACACATTTCCCATCATCATAAAAACTTTAGTCATGGATAGCATTTTCATAGCATTTTGTCCACATAAAGTACAGAAGTAACTGGCTTGAAAGGGCACAGTTTGCTTTGAAGATTGCTTATGCTAACACTGTTTTCAGTCAGTGTCTGTTTAAACTCATACTGAATCACGTTGTGCGGACACAACGCTGCTTCCACTGTGAAAATGTTAGGAGTATTATGCTAGCAAGAAGACAGAGGCTGCATCCACATTACACATCTGGTCACACTAGAAAAGTACTCAGGTATCACTTTTACTCCTAGTCCTGTATTCTATATAGGTGTGAATGGACATTGGCTGAAGAATGTGTTGAGAACTGGCTCTATTCAGTAAACCATATACAGTAAAGCTCCACTCTGTGAATGAATACTGCAGGATATAAGTGAATCATGACTTTTTTTTAAGAGGAACATAGATGATGATTATGGAAGCCCATTTCCACTACTGGAGAAAAAATATATAGCCATTTAGTGAGTCATAATAGTAAGAATTTTGATCATAATTATGACTTGGTCTCTTATAATTATGATTTAGTACCTTGTGACTCTGTCATAATAATTCCTCTCATAATCAGGAGAAAATGTTCCCAAAACTTTGATATAGTCAGAATTTTGATATAGTGAGCCATTATTATAAGCTACCAAGTCATAATTATAAGATATTAAGTCATAATTATGAGAAGGTAAGTAATAATTATGAGATACTAATGACTTAGTCATTGTTATGAGATGCTAAGTCATAATCATGAGATATTAAGTTGTAATTAGATTGCAAGTCATAATTATGACATAGTAAGTCATTATTACTAGATATTAAGCCAGAATTATGAGATGCTAAGTTTAGATAGTTATATGATTATTAGATAGTAAGTAGTATAGTAAATATGAGATCGCAAGTCATAATTATGATACATGTCATTATTATGAGATACTTAGTTATGACATAGTAAGTCATCATTACCGGATGTTAAGTAAGAATTATGAGATGCTAAGTTATAATTATTAGATTGTAAGTTGTGAATATGAGACTGCAAGTCATAATTATGACATAGTAAGTCACTATTATGAGATACTAAGTCATAATTATCAGAAGGTAACTAATAATTACGAGAAAGTAAGTTATAAGTATGAGATACTAATGGCTTACTCATTATTATGAGGTGCTAAGTCATAATAATGAGATATTAGCTCATAATTATAGAAAACTTTATTACTGTGACTTAATAAACGGCTATACATTTTCCAGTGGAGGAAACGGGCTTCCACACAACGGAGGACAACTACCCCGCCAACAAAACATCCCTGTCGCAGTGTCTGCGCAAAAAACACATACAATTTTTTGCCCTGAAGTTTGGAGCTGATGGAAAAAAATGTACACCGCCTCACTATTTCGCAGGAAGGCTGGGCCCGTTGCGCCAGGACGCGGCCAACGGCGGAGCACTATTTCGCCGAGCAAGAGGGGAGGGGAGGGGAAGGCAGGGCCGCCTTCTGCTCATCAAACGGAGAACCAAGGGGGGGAGAGTGAGAGAGAGAGAGAGCAGGAGAGGAATAATTTCCCCCCATAGCATGCTAAAACAAATTTCCAATAAAAAAGAGGGTAAGCTGACAAATAACGTCCGACATGCATATGTTTAGCGCTGCGGGAGAAGTGTGAATACAAGACTGCGCGGGCGAGAATAGAGGGATTTTTGGGAAGCGTTTACAGTAAGGTTGTCGGAGGCTGGATGCAGACATGGCTTTTTTTCCTGCTTTCGTTTGAAAGGGGTTTCTCGTCAGGCAGAGGCTGCATTACAGTCCCTCCTTTGTTCGGCTGCGGCCGCTCCGCTGCTCCGGCTCTGCTGCTGCGGGGATTGTAGCTAAATAATAGTGAGGCAACATGGCTGACGCGGCTGCTGCTGCTGCTGGTTAGCTGGCTAATGTCTCTGCTTTCAGGTTGATGTGCTGGTTGCCGTCCACTGTTTTTGGTTGTTTCAGTTGTATGGCTTTTTCTTGACGTCCCTTTGGAATGATAACAACCTCTGCTGTTGCTAATGTTGGCTGTGGTAGCCGTTGGTGCATCGTTAGCCAGCTAGGTTAGCTACCTGCAGAGCGTTAGCTTCCATTAGCCAACGTTAACGTTAGCTAGAAAGCCTAAACAGGGCTGTTTGGTTTCTAGTAGTAATCATGACACATAGCGTATGTCTTCTTTATCATCTGAAAGAAGTCGTCTGGGGCTCAGTGCATCTACCACAATGGCAAAGTTATGGTTTACAAGGCATTTCGTTCATGGGAACAAGCTAGCTTGGCTAGCTTCTTATTCGAATTTTCCCGTTCCACCTTAAATGGTGCAGCAGTTACATTCTAGCACCTGAGGCGCCAGAATGTAAGTGTTGCACCATTTAAGGTGGAACGGGAAAATGCAAGGAAGGAGCTGACTTCAGCTTCGTATCGCTCCTGCGCTTTCTAGAACATTTCCATCTGAGAGTCTGTTTTTCTTCTTTAATAAGTACCCCACGCTAGACTACCTCGTAACCTGTCTGATAAAACTCCCAGGCCTGCAGACAGCGTTTAATGAATCGGTGAAGTAACTTGTCAACTGTTCTCCCGCTGTCTCTCTCCTATTAGCCACCTTCGCCTTTGGCAGGCGACGCGATGAAATGCGATCAGGCTGAACTGATCTCTCCCTGCATTGTTGAAACGTCCTCCCCGCCAGGTTGAACTGTAAGGCGAGCGGCTCTCCGTCGGCGCACAGCTGAAACATCAGCCTGTAAAGAAAGCCTCAGGTCGAATTGCACCCCGAAACACAACTGCAGACGGCGAGATGAATCATTCGTGACGGAAACCGTGGTTTGTTTGGTGGGAGGACGGTCGTTTCATTTGTCTCTTCTGATGAACGTTTTGTAGGGCACCTCTACAGGATTAATTGGCCAATTAACTTGAGGCGGCAAAGCGAGTGGGCCCTACTCAAGGTGCCACTTTCACCCAACACAGAACAGCTGTGTTATCTGTCCCACCATGGAATCTTTTAGTAAACCTGAATTTAGACCAATTGACCAAAAACAAGGGATGCAGAACAGATGTTTAGATTTGACTGATATTTCAAACCAGTAGCTGATGATGTATTCGTAGTACTCCAGAAGAGCAGAATGTTTCACTAATGCTGGGCTGCTTTGATAAAATATCTGGATTTCGTTCATTTTAGTGCATTTGCAACCCAAAAGAAACAAGTATTGTATTTCTCTGTGATGTTATTCCAGGTGGACCTGCTCCCAGTTTCTGCATTTTATAAATGTTTGTGTCAGCATTGTTAGATACCTACATGAAAAATATCAGATATCGGCATCAGCCCACAATTCCCATTTAACAACATGGATGAACTTGAGTGAGCTGTTAAATACAGGCTACTGGTTTGCAATTATATAAAACCTGAAATTAGAAAATTCACTAAAAGCTGCTCAAAGATCTAATGTAGTCTCGTCCGCAGAATGTCTGGGGACAACCATTAGACACATTGGGCTAAATGTATAAGGGTAGGAGCAAACGAGTGTGAAAGTTCTAAACCAAACCAACACTGCGTGAAGGCGAAACTCAACATTGTCCGACAAAGTCTTTTGTTAGCCTATGGATATAACGTTAGTTAGCATGGCTAAAAAGTCCCCCCAGAACGCATGTACATCTGAATCGCGTGTGCATAAAACACATTACATGCTGTAAAAATAAACATCACCTCTAGTGAGGGAAAAACTCTTTTGTTAGCTTACAGTTGCATTTCGTTAGCTAGCTTGTTTGGCCTGTGTTATTGATTGTGCTCTGGATGCTAAAAGAAGGCAGACTAGAGGAACGTGGAGGCAGGTTTTAGAGGGGGCGTACCCTTGTCTGCATTCTTGTTACGATTGCAAATCACAGGAATAGGTCTAACGTGAAATAACTTAAAAGTGGAACTCCACTGATTGTTTTTAATTTTCTGCATAATTCGATCATAGAAATGTAAACAAAGTCATTTAGGGCTGTGCTTCCCAAAAGGGCCTTAGTGTGAAGGCTAAACTGGAAGAAAGTGTTCAGTGTGATGCTCGCACTACCATTTAAGACTCATCCTTGCACAAAAGTGCTTTTGGTCCAGCATGGTTTGATGTGAAATAATACAATGTAAACAAACTTACTGACTCTGATTTCTTCACAGTGGAGGTGATGGGAACAAGGGGTTGCAATATCTACAGTGCAGATTTAGCCATTTTATTTACCATCTGAAATGACCAGTGGACCTACACGTCTTCTGACTTTTCATATAAATGTTCGTAAAGGTAAAATAGTGGTAAATCTAAAAAATTGGGGAATGTTTTGCCTGATGATGCTGTAAATGGCCTCAAAATTACTTCTAAACAATGTCTCAGGCATCAGGAGTATTTGTGACCTTTTTATGCAGTAACTTTATGGGATGTAGCTTTGGGGCATTAAACTCTTTGGTGGTCTGGTTCCTATGGCCACCATTGTAAACAATTCTGACTTTTACTGAAATTTCAGTAGAACATCATTTTTAAGACTGAATTATTCAGAAATGTTAAAAAGGTATCTTATCTATCATGGATGGTTTGTCCTTCATTGAGTTGTTCAAATAGGATACAGGCTAGCTGTTATCAGTATGTTGTCAATAAGTCTAGTTGTTTGTTGAAAGACATTCTTCTCAGCTGATAACAGCGATTGTGCATGCGATTTATTTTTATGCTGCATTTTCATGGGGGGGTCTTCTGTAGCCACGTCTGCTGCCGTCAGGTCATCAAAAGGCCACCAACAGAAAGATACAAGTTCACTGTGCTTATGATCTTGTTCTAGCCATAAAATCCTGACTGTGCTTGAGTGTTCCGGTTGTTATACACTTTATTTAGCATCCTCTATCTGTGGACATTATCTAAGGGAATAATGCATGAGCCTATTCTCACTGATCAGTTAGCTATGACCATCAGCAGCGTAACAGCCTGCAAAAGTGCTCAGCCTGGATTTTGAATGGAGACTGAATGAAATGGAACGCAAGAGAGTGATGTGCTCATGCAAACTGAAGATGACAATAAGCGTTCATGCACTTATTTTTGGTTAAAAGGGGAATTTGACAGATTTTTCTGATTCAGTATAATTCAGTCGTTGAGATGTAAGCACGTTATTAGAGTGGTTTGCTATGAAGTGATGCATTGTAGAGAAATTTATTGACCTACTATTTTCTAACTATTTCATGTAATAATCTTCAATGAGGAACCTTTTAGAGGTGTCAAACAGTCTAGTCGTCGGGTTCCTATCAGCACCACTGTGAACAGTGTTTTACAAAGGAGCTTTCACATCAAACCACTCTGAGTGACTTTGTTTACATCTTACCATGTTAATTATTGGGAGTATAAATCAGTGGAATTCCCTTTTTACAGCACTTCTGTGAATCCCCGTGATTTACAGTCTCAATTTCTAGTTTCACTTGTGTCTAATGACATTACAAATAAGGAAAGCCCTCTGGTTTGGATGAGGCTTCTTGCCCTAATGCAAGTTCAGTCTCTTCACAGAGGTGACCAAATACAACTGATATACTATTAAATTCAAATTTAGTTAGTTGTGAAGTTGAATGATGTGAGAGTGTAATGCTAAACTCTGCAGGATCTCCAGGATTTGAATTCAGTTTGTGTTAATGAAGCTTGGATATCCATTTTGGCAGATTGTAGCCACTTTTGCACAGTCAGTTATGCTTTTTGGGGGCCAAACGTATTGTGAGCTTACCGCCCAGCTGTGGTCATTTGCAGTAATCGAGCTACAGAGTGAAATTCTGTGGATCCAGGATCTGAAGAAAGCTGGAATTGAGACAAGGGTCGTGATGATGCATATTATGTTCATTTTTAGTTTGATTCATCAACTGTGTTCATTTGGCTTGAGCAAATTGGCTTAGTGAAAATGTTCTCTTCAGACACTCATGTAGTTTTTCTTTCTCTGACACGTCTTTTTGCTCATGGGAGATGCAGTCTGTAATAATGGTATTTCTCCCCAATCGGGAGACGTTTTTCTCCCCGAGTCTAAGGTCTGTCTCAGCCAGCTTGAGCTACGGTTCAGTTGAAATATGTTTGATGGTTCTGAGGAAGGCTGTCTGGTCAAGTTAACTCATAATGCATAATGTTATGCAGCTGTTCCTGGTATTCTGTTTTTCCTGTAGTTAAAATCAGACTAATTCAGATTTGATCACCCAGCAGAGCAAGTTGTGACCACTATTTTGGTTTGGCTGTCTGTGTAACTTGTAGCACCGCTAAAGGTTAACACCGCAGTAGCCGTTGGCTGCCTTTGCATGTAGAACGATCCTGATGTGTTACGCAACAGCTTTGTCTTAGCTGACTAAATAATGTATGTCTTATGTCAATGCACGTTTGATCCAATTTCTAAGTAACCCCAAATGTCTGGATCTCTGATGCAGCCATAAGGAGAGATAAGGAAGGGCCTCAAATCAGTTTTAGAAATGCCACCTATTTTAAGGCTTTAATGTCAGTCTAATTTAAAAATAATCCATTTTCATCTAAGTTTGGAGTTCTAGCAGAGACATCTGTTAAGAATTATGCATGAAAATGTTTAGATGGATTCTCTTTAGTTCATATGTAGCTCACTTTTACTCAGTGAGTGTTTGTGCATATATTTACTTAACGATGTGTTACTCTTGGAGACGTAAAGCTTGCAATCAATCTCTTTCAGTGTCAAAACTGTTAAATCTCCTTCTTGTTTTTTTCAGGTTTTTGAAGCCCTTCCTCAAAGGTAAAAGACTGGACAGCCATCCGCTGGCAGAGCCCTGTGTGGGCTGCTGATAACCCAGCTGTCAGCTTTAAACCAAGAATTACACATTTCTGTCTGTTGGTGTCGTACCACTGGATTATATGCCAGCGTTTCCCCCCATTGTGATCTTCCCCCCTTTTATTTGAACCCCCTGTATACTCTTTCATTCATCAGAAAGAGTACAGTCAATATTTTCACCCTAGTCCGGCAGCACAGCTGCTCCCCTACATCCAGATGAATGAAGACCCCATTCGGGAAGAACGCAGGCCAGAGATCCAGAGCTGATGCAGGTAAAATTGGTCGTGGTGCTGTGGTTTTGTTTTTATATGCGATTCACTTTATTGGAGATATTTTATAATATTTGTGTGGGTCTTTTTGTTTTGTTTACTTAAGGACATGCTGGTGTCTCTGCAAATATGATGAAGAAAAAGAATTCGCACAAGTAAGTTTCCAAACCTAGGTGCTGTAAATCAGATTATGAAGTAACATTTGCCAAGAAGTACAATTTAAATGAAGTAATATAGTTTAAATTATAAATATTATAAGAGCTGTATAGGATTTGTGTAGGATTTAGATGTAATATTTGACCAGTATGTTTCCTTGTGTGGTCACTCAATTCCAATTCTTGTAGCAGCCAGCAAAATCTCTCAAGGTCACAGTGGATTTTCAGGAGCTTAGTTTTATAGCGCATCTGAAGATGATTTGTACGGTTGCTCTGCATTCTTGCAGAAAACACAAGAGCACCGTTGGACCTACCAAGGTGTCCCAGCCCCGGCGGAACATAGTGGGCTGCCGCATTCAGCACATTTGGAAGGAGGGCAGTGGAGCAGCCTCTCAGTGGAAAGGAACAGTGCTAGATCAAGTGCCCGTCAACCCATCGTTGTACCTGATCAAGTACGATGGCTTCGACTGCGTTTACGGGTTGGAGCTACATAAGGACGAGCGAGTGCAGGGGCTGGAGGTCCTGCCAGACCGTCTAGGTAGGTCTTGTTTGCTGTTCGTTTGTTTTTCCTGAATTTAATGCTTTGACTGCTTTGTCTTCTATATATTGTAATAATGCATTCATAGGTCCATGTCATTTTGCCTGTGTTCTCACGCAACACCCTTCTTCCTTTCGCCCATCAGCATCTACGCGCATCAGCGATGCCCACCTGGCCGACACCATGATAGGCAAGGCCGTTGAGCATATGTTTGAGACTGAAGAAGGCTCGAAAGACGAGTGGCGGGGGATGGTGCTGGCCAGAGCCCCTATTATGAACACATGGTTTTATATCACATATGAAAAAGACCCCGTCCTCTACATGTATCAGCTCCTCGATGACTACAAGGATGGAGACCTGAGGATCATGCCAGATTCAAGTAAGTTTGGTTTGTTTAGTGCAATGGCCTCTAGCCCTGGTCCTGGAGAGCTACATTCCTGCAGAGCCAAAGTTCCATCCACAGTTTGCCACACCTGCTCTGACTAATCAACCTCTTCCCATGTCCCTGACAGGCTGGATCAGATGTATTAGAGTTAAGTAAAGAGTGGGAACTAAACTCTACAAGAAGGTGGCTCTCCAGGACCAGGATTGGAGGTCACTGGTTTGATCTATCAAGCCGTTTGTTTGGCTTTGTCCTTTGTAATACACTGTTTTGTGTCTCATCTTAAGATGTGTATTTTACATAGTTTCAGAGCTTTGCTCTGACATGACATTTTGATATGATATTGAGGACAGCGTGTAGCATAAAGGGGCATTCCGGCTTAAAGATTGACTTTAATATGTTCTTCAGGTTATGCACTATTCTGTAGCACAACACTGTATTCCTCAGCCAGTTTGACAGATTTCAAAGGTTTAGCATTTTAAGGTTTTGGTTAATCAACGTTCTCTCACTACAATGTTCAGCATGGATTATGCAAGTGCATGATACAAGCTTTGGGACTCCCTGCAGTGTCATCCAATCCTGACTGCTAGCTTTGCCACTGATCTATAGGCTAAAAACACAGCCACAGCCTTAGTGTAACTCTTACCTCGGGTGCCAAACAAAATTGTAAAGAAAACAGTGATTCTGTTTATTTAGCACAAAATGGATGCCAGAGACATGATTTTACCAGTAATGGTCATTCTGAGTCATTCCAAATGTCAGAGTCTTTCGAAATGCTTAGGTTTCGCAGGTGACCTGATGTCGCATCACTGATTTTATCAAGAATCATGTTTACACAAGGTACAAACTGGGAGCTCTGTTGAAAGTGCAGTGCATTAGATTTCACTGTTGGGTATTATATAGGTATATTTTTTATATATGGTGTCTTTGTAGTTAGATATGTGTTGATTTTATAGATGTAAAAAATGTAATCTACTGAGCGTATTTATTCATGACATTCACCTGCTGAGAATTCATCCTGTAAAGTTAAACAAGGCAAACTTTATCTCAAATATTGTCTATATTTTGGAAGTACATGCTGCTTTCAGCGCTGCTTCGTCATACACTGGAATTAGACACATGTAATCAGTATTATTGTATCCAGAATCATCAAAGAAACAAGCAGTTATGATTGAGCTGAATCTGATATGCGATGCAGAGAATGTGTATTTCGAGGATCTCAATAGCCAACAGCTTTTAGATTGTCGCCCTCTTCATCTGATGAGTCGTTTCTGTCATCTGAGTAATCCGTTCCATTGTAATGATGATTTGAAGAAAGTTGAGACAGTTGTACGGCTGCATTAAGATATTTGGCTTACTAGCAGTAACATTAAATATTAAAACATTTCTGTGTTCACCAGCTGATTGAAAAAATAAAAATTGAAAATAGCCCCCAGAAATTCATCCTGAAGCAGTGGTAGTTTCTCAAAAGTTTCTCTCATCTTCAAGATACATCAGAAGGGGGTTTTCGTAGTCTGTAAACTGGAACATCTCACTGAGGAGAGCCACTGTGGAATACTGTTGCTCTGCTGTAGGAGGAGTGTAGACTTGTATACAACAGATTTTTCACATTTTGGCTGGAGCGCCCCTTTAATGTTTACATAGATCGGACACCATTTTTGCAACTCATTCCTCTATTAAGTGTCTAATGTTTCTCCTTGGTGTGTCACAGATGACTCGCCCCCAGCGGAACGGGAGCCCGGAGAGGTAGTGGACAGCCTCGTGGGGAAGCAGGTGGAGTACGCCAAAGAGGATGGCACGAAACGGACTGGCATGGTCATCCACCAGGTGGAGGCCAAGCCCTCCGTTTATTTTATCAAGTTCGATGACGACTTTCACATTTACGTGTACGACTTGGTGAAAACGTCATAGGCCGGGCACACAGTGCGAGCGAGGGAGGAAGTCGCGGTAGCGAAGGAGGAGACTGACTTGGGATGTGATCCACAAACTCTGCCAAAAGTTCTCGTGGAACGTTTCTTTGCACCATCTTATGGAGACGTAACGATGGATATTTCACTGGAGCCTTGGATTGCCACTAGCTAAGTGTCTTTTTATTGTTTTTCAGATGAAGGGATAGCTGTGTTTGACATGATATTCCCTAAACAAAAGTAGCTTAATATTCAAATGGTTGTCTTTTAGTATTGTTCATTCCTGTTGATAACCAGTGAAGATAATGAGCATACATCATTTCCACTAGCGAAAAGGGGGGGACAAAAAAAAAACACACAGGTCCCAGATTCTTGCCTTCAAGAGTTAACGTGTTCTCTGTTATGAATTGGGATGAATCGGGCGGTTCGATGACTGACAGAACAGAAGTGTGACTGTTACAGCTCCGTGCGGAGTTCAGCCTTTACGTGTCACCCAAAGTCCTTTTTTTGTTTTTTTGTTTTTTTTCGCTTTGCTGAAGTCAACAGCAGCTCCCAGCAGTGGGGATGACTAGCTCAGTTTCTCCCTTAACATCGTTTCACTATCACTACGAATTTAACTCATCATCTGTTTGTTAGATGATGCGTATATTTGTAGTGTGCACACCAGCTTCTTCTTCTTCTTCTTACAACAGTGTCTTGTACTTACCATATGATAAAATGCTAATGCAGCTTATCAGTGAATTAATTATATTAAGCACTAATGTCATTTGACCTCTATGGAAGATTGGAGCACTTGATTATCTTTTTTTCCTCAAATATGTGATTTATCACATTCAGTCACTTATTTAAAAGCTATTTACAAATGAGCATTTTTAAGCTTCGACTGAACTCATTGTAAACGTCTTGTGAAATTCTGCTATCGCTCGGCTGTAGCTTACGTACTGACGGTGTTTTAAGTGTTTTGCGACTTGTATTTACTTTCATAATCTAATATACATGGACGGTTGTCTTAATTTTGTTATCCACCATATGACAAAACGGTTTGTGGGTTAGATTTATGACTTTTAATTGATCTTTTATTTTATTTGGAAGATTGGCCACCTATTTCAAGAACTATTGTGACAAAGACCAGTAAAAAAAACAAAAAAAAAACAAAAAAAAACAAAGAAAATTGATGCAATAATAATTCAAAAGTATTCAGGAAACACATTCAGGAAGTGCACTGCAATCTTTACGGCCCACTCTGATTTCATTTGATGAGTAATGCTTTCTTACACAATTAGCCTTTTGAGATTTCTTTTCATTTTTTTCCACTTTATGTGTAAATGTGCGTGCCTCGCTGTTCGATTGTCAAATGTTTTAACGTTTTGTATGTTCCCAATCAATTTCTATTTTCAAGCTGACCTGAGGGCCCCTCAGGAATGTTACAATGTTTGAAGTAACACATCCACACTCGCAGCCACATGTGTTTTTCATTACCTCATGCTCCTCGTTCATGAGCATTCGGCCCACTACAGCTCACTCCTCCTTTTCTTTTTCAGCCGCGTTCGGCTGCATATAGAAGCTCGGCTACTGAGGGGAAAGGCAGCGCGACTGCAAAGGTCACACAAAGCTGTTGTATCTTGCTTTTGATATGCACAACGGAAAAAAACAATGTCATTGCAGCACCACAGACAGTGGAACTGATGTCGCTTTGTGTTTCTTTTATGTTCCATTCTCCCAGTATTGACCCTAAGACCTTAAGCCTGCTTAGCTTACCAAAAAAAGAAAAAGAGAACCATCGTCGATTAAACCGTCGTGATTCTTACACGGTTTGGGGGGGAAGCATCGTCCTTGGTTGCCGCTCGGGACTTGTGGTGTTCTATTAGTTTAAGGGGAGACTGTGGGCCCTGTAACAAAACTGTATGCACCCCCAGTATCTGTTGCAGCTACATGTACTTAACAAGTCTGTTTTTTTGTTTTTTTTAAAGTAGGATTCTGTCTTATCAGTGGCATATGGACGTGTCATTATGCAAACGGACATTCAGAAAAGACATGTTCGACGGATTGGCCTTTTATTTACATTTACCTACTGTAGTATTGTACCGTGTTTGATGTCAGGTCGACGTGGGAAATTGAAACAAAGAAGAAAAAAAACGAACGCTAGGCCATTCTTTTTGCATGAAATGAGTAGAGTTGTAAGTGTATGTTAGTGTGATGCATGTGTACCTGTCTTTTTATTTCAGTTATTTGTTCCCTAAATGAAAGTTTATTGTGTTGCTAATTGTGAATTTCCTGTTATTGGTTATTATTATTATTATTATTTTTTTTTATTTGTTTCCGATTTTTTCCCATTTCTTAAAAAAAAAAAAAAGTATTTTATTTTCTACTATGCTCTATCGGATCAAATGCACTGGTGTTCTATGTGGAGTGCCAATTTGAAGGGCAAGGTACCAGTGTTACACAGCATTTGAGGGATCATATCTTTAACGTTTCTACGTTTGTATGCATTAAGAGTCCCAGAATTACAAAGGTAACGTTGAGGAAAAGGCCTTATATGATTGGGATGGAATTGTTAATACATAAAAAAAATCCTATGTGAAGTATGTGAGCGTATGTCTGTGAGCGTGTATGGAACTTCACGCTAATGACCACACATATCCGTTTCAGCCTTGTACATATCGAATTGGAAAAAATGAGGGGTTTTTCCCGTTTAGTGCACAACTTTACCCTGCGTGGAGAAAACGGTGGCGAATTTGAGAATATGATCCCTTTGAGATGCTGTTGCTCTTTGATTACTTTGTAAAAAAAAAAAACAAACAGAAAAAAAACAGTGCAATTTGATGATTGTCGCAGATACATGTATAGTTCAAATTTTCATGTTCTCCTTCACGTATAGTTAAATGGCTTCTATTGGACCGCATTTTTTTTTCTAAACATTGTAGATAGTTCATTTTATTTGCATTTAGAAGTATAAACACATTTTAAAACCTGTTACTTAATTCTGTAAGTAATTTTTATAATTATTATGTAAGTCTATCCTTATAAGATTAAAAAAATAAAACTTCATGTGAAACAAAGGCGTCTTTGTATCTGGTCTCCCCTCCACCGCGTTTATTTGATCCATAGTTTCTGCATAATTAAATCAAACTTGCCAGGTCAGGATTGTTTACAGTGGTGGTGATGGGAACCAGACGTCTGAAGTGTTTAATGCCTCTGAAAGCTACATCACAGCCTTACAGATATGTTGCCTGATGATTTGAGATAGTTTTTGATAGTTTTGACCTTGATTTTGATAGTTTTGAGATGAGCTTTTGGGCTAAAAAGTATTTTTTTGTGGAGAGGTGCTTGTAGGGTGTTGTAAAGCAAAATAATCCCCAAAGAAAATTTGCTACTATTGTATCATTATCAACATATAAAAACTCAGATGATTTACTGCTGGCTTTGGATAGTAAATAAAATGGCTATGGCCATTTTAAAATCACTGCCACTGTAAAGAAATCTGAGTCAGTTTGTTTCTATATATTTCACATCAAACCGCTATGAATGGCTCAAGGATTCACTAATAAATCAGTGGAACTCTCTTTTAATTCATCCCTCCAATCTCAATCACTTGTTAGGCTGTGTAGTACAGTATACTAACATTTAACCAAGTGTCATTGAAATGTGAAAAGCCTAAAACACATTTGAAGACAAAAAAAAAATCAGTGTAAACCTCAAGAGAAGAAAATGAACACTGTATGTGGATCATTCTACTGAACTGGTTCAAAGTCAGAGTTCAAAACACATTTCAGACTTTTAAGTGACTTTGTCTTTATACTAAAATCATTTTTCTTTGAGGGAACCAGTACATTAGATATGTTTATCAAAATAAATAATTAAACGTTCCATTTTGTCACTAACAAGACAATCATAACACTGCCGAAAGTTTACCAGCTGTTTTGGTATTGACCGTTTCGGTGGTGACCGTTTTAGCTCGTTTTGAACAGAACAATTAGAAATATTCGCCAGTGCACGACTAACAAACACAGCTTTGAACAGCTGTACACACATAATTGCAGAAAATATGTTTCGGTTGTGACAATTCTTAATGTTACATACTGATTTTCAGACTTTAGGACACATTTATTTCAAAACATTGAGATCTAACTGCTCACCATGTGGCCAAGAGGGACAGGGATGCAGTCTCACTTCCTGCTCTAAAATGTAGGGGTTTGGCTAAATTAAGGATCCTTGTGTTTCGGTAGTGAAATAAAAACGTGGGACAGCATTTTTAATGAAGTTTTTTTTTATTTAAAATTTGAACTAAATCTAAATCTTTCAACTTCAAAAGAAACCAAAAAGCATTGAAAAAGTTGTTAAAAAGTCAATCTTATTTTCACAAGTTGAAATGGTTGTCTGCTGTGTTCGCGTAATGCATGCTGGGTGTTGTAGTGAGAGAACACTGATGAATGAAAACAAGTCAGCGATATAAAACCATGAATTCTGTCAAACCGAGAAGCCTGAAGGGTTTTAGGCTACACTACAGATTATCAACAGTTAGTTGCGGCCATGCAAGCTGATGGGTTGAGAAGCGTTCTAACCGTGCTGTTATTTCACCATAACATCACAGGTTTTTCACAAACACACTCTGCTGAGACACCATTGCTAAGCAACGACTTCGACAGCTGTAGGAGACACTCATGCTATTTGAACATTTTTACTTCCTACTTTGCGCAAAAACAGAAAATGGATACTTTTACTTCTGAAGATGAGGCTAACCTAAATTCCCAAACTGTCAGTTGGTCTGTGTGGAGCTGGAGAACGAACTGCCGGCTGTGCAGCGAGTGGGCGGAGCTCGTTACTCTGATGTAGCAACAAGCTGCTCATTAAGGAACTATAATTTGGTGAAGGAACTGGGAACATTAAAACATATTAAATGCCAGGTTTACAGCCCAAATTATTCATTTATTACTTTATTTATTTAACTGTTGTATAAAAGCAATAGAACACTCGAGGTTGTGTGTTATCGCTATAACACTGCGACCAAATCACAGCCGTGATGTTATTTCGCGATAACACACTCCCTCTCGTGTTCTATTGCTTAAATATGACAAATAACATGTTAAACTCTAGATTTAGGTCAGAGTTCCTCTTTAACATCATCAGCTATGAAGAGTATAGCTAATTAGTTGAGCAACAAATACTGAGCCCGCTGTACATTTACTCAATTCTCCTATCTGTTTATCATTAATAACTTATGCAGAATATTTATTGATTGTGCTTACGAACTGCAGTTACTCGTGTTACTTAAGTAGAGCGCACCTTTCGCCATGGGCAAACACAAAGGCCCTTATCTTGCACATTTCTCTATTTTAAATTGTTTTGAATATTCT